CAGCACCTCGAAAAAAAACGGTAACATCGTCATTCGTCTGTAGTGTATGCAAAGTAAATCTGTGCATAAAGACTGATAGAAATTGTTTCACAGACTTCCATCTTGCCAATTAGCAATATAGAATCATTGGTCTTCCAAATGAATCTCAGGAATATAGGGATTGAAACTTCATCACTTTGCAATTGGCATTGTTGATATTTGCTTCCTTTTTATATTTTTGTAACAATTAAAAAATGTTTTGATACAAGTTCCATTTATGTTTTTTATATTGTCTGTTTGTATATTAAATTTAAAAAATTGTTTTGGTGTGTTTTATTAACAATTGCAAGTTTGCAACATAAAATTTTTTAATCACTTTGTCGGGGGCGGCCTAATATTTTCGGTCTTCGGAGATTGGCAATTGCTCGAAAACTAACCATCAGAAATCAATTTATATGGGATCAGTGACCTTGTATTGAGTTACTCTATCCACCATAGGGAGTTCAGTTTGAATTTCAAATTTTCGGACCCCTTGTGCGATGAAGGGTTAATGTTTGTCAGGAGGAAGGTAGGGTAGTGGTCTGTAGTGCTATCTGTGATTATCCCTGATTTAAGGGGGGGCTAGTATATTGGTCCATATGTGGTCTATTATGGTTGCACTTGTCTCAGTGAGCCTGGTTGGTTTAGTTATTGTTGGTATGAGAAGTGTGTTGTTCATATTGTTGATGAAATCAGTTACAGGCTGATCATCTAGTAAGCCAAGGTTGATGTTGAAGTCTCCAGCTAAGAGAAGGTGGTGCTTATTCATTTGTCTGTTTGTTATTAGTGACTTTAATTTCTCACTGAAATTTGGGATGTTTGTGTGAGGTATCCGGTAAATGGCACCGATTGTTATGGGTATCTTAAGGTTTTTTACAGTAAAATTAGCAAAAATGTATTCCCCATATTCATCACTAAAGTAAGTGGTGCTAATACAAGATAATTGGTTAGAGTAATAGATTGCAGTACCACCCCCATGGTCTTAGGAATGGATCTCCGTTAAGTGAGGAGAGGCTGTACTGCATTGTCAACAAACTATTCTTTAAAAACAGTCCAAAACACTGTAGGCATTCCAGCCACTAAAGCATCCTTGCATTTAATCTCATCTCCAGGCCTGACGTACATAATGCATGGCCTCCACTTTTAACCCTTTCATTGTCAAGAGCCCTGATCACAAACTTGCTCTGTCGAGAAATGTTAAAAAAAAAAAATTTCTTATCAAATATTAAGAATATTTTTCAGAGTGTTTTAAAAGAAAAACAAATTTTTTTGCAATCAGTACTTACTGAGATACAGAGGCATGAAGTTGACAAAGTGAACCACTTAGAGCAACATCGGCGACTGCCGCTCACTCTACAGTATTTTTAATTTTATTCTATTTTTTCTTTTCTAATTTATTTTTTCAAGTAACTTCTGTGGCCAGTGAGACCAATATAATGCATAATGTATATACTATATCCACTTGCATGCAACACAATAAACACACAAACATTGCCATCATTATATTGTTTACAAAACTTGTTTACACAAACCCACACTGCCTCCCCCATCACCCATGCTGGAAATAAGTCATTTGACTCTTTTGGGTTATCCTAGGTTTTCTACACATGCTATGCATGATAATCTATAACTGTATTCGTGTTTACCTGAATAAACTTGCACACCATCTTCCCAACCACCCATGCTGTCTTCCCCACCCACACCATCATCCCCACCATCCACACTGCCTTCCCCACACCCACACTGTCTTCACTACCACCCATGCTGGAAATAAGTCACTTTCACTTTTATGGGTTATCCTAGGTTCTCTACACATGCTGCCATGTATGATAATCTATGTCACTTTATTTGTGTATACCTAAATAAACTTAATTATTCATTGAGACAAGGGAAAATATGAGTTTCCTCTTTTTGCGTGGACAAGTGAACAAAAAATAAAAGGCCCACACCAAAGTAATGGCCGCTGGGTTTTCAGCACTATTTCGGCATCCTGGCTTGCTTTAGTCATACCTTCAAAACAATGAGATTCATCCACAGACACATCATCTGTTTTAGAACTACATTTGGGGAAGGGGAAAAGACCCCTTTTGCTGGGGGTGGGGAACCTTACCGCAGGGAGGGGAAAAAGGCATACTGATTTGCACTCCTACAATGCCCTGCGGCCACCCCGATTTTTTTTTAACTGCCTGCTGACACGACACGTTCCTCACTTTCAATCACACTTTCTCCCGCTAATTTAAAGCTCTGAATTTTGGTATTTAAGGGGCCCGACACGGGTTTCCAACTTAATATTACGGACTGACAGGGGGGGAAAGGGGTTAATCTTTAGTCATCCCCAAAAAAAAAAACCTTCTGACTATTAGCCCAAAACCAAAATCTTGGTCTGGTTTGTGTTTCCCAGTAATTAAAAGCGCCTAATAAAAACCTTAAATAGACCCACACGAAGTTACCCTTCCCCTTTTCCCCCCTTTCCCAGGAAATCCCCAAAAAAAAAATTTTTTTTTTTCACCCTGTTTCAGGCCATTTCTGTGTGATAACACCAAAAATCTCTCACCAGTATTTCTTCTGACAGTCTACGCTACCCTAAACAGCCAAAAAAACCACAAAACCCCCTTCAGAAAGCTCGTTTTCTTTTTTAAAATACAGTGGTATCTCGGTTAAAAACTTAATTCGTCCAAAAGGGGCCGTTCGAGTGCCGAACAAATAATTTTTGTTCCCATGGGGAAGTTTTAAAATTAATATTCCTTTTCAGACCCCCAATAAACATTTAAAAAAGCACTTACACTTGCATAATTGTTTGAGTTCGGAGCTGTTCGAAACTCGAGGAACCACTGTACTATACACACCCACGCAATAGACTTATTCTCTCGTGTCCAAGCCAAAATTTGCCTGCCACAGCAAATTTGAGGTTGGTATAAATTATGCAAAGATCTACAGCGCTGACATTGATTCCACTGATATATATTGACAGCACCAGCATTGATCCCACTGATATAGATTTATGTAACTGTCAGTGTCACGTACAACAGAACTGCACTGTAGTGGGAGACACTTGGATCAACAAATGCAAAATAATTATTGCTGGTAGATAGTAAGTCTAGGTAGTAGGTTGGTAGACAGCAACCATCCAGGGAAGTACTACCATCCTGCCAAGTAAGTGTAAAATGAAAGCCTGTACAATGGACCCCCAGATTACGTAATTAATCCGTTCCAGAGAGAGTGACTTATCCTGAATCTGACCTATTCCGAATTAATTTTCCCCATAAGAAATAATGGAAATCCAATTAATCCGTTTCAGGCACCCAAAAGTATTAAAAAAATGTTTTCTACGTGAAATATACATTTACCTACTCAGAAAACAATGATACATGAAGAGTAAAACAATAATAACATCACATTTACCTTTATTGAAGACATGGTAATGTATGGAAGACTGGAGGAGGAGAGAGGATGGAGGAGTTTACAATTGTTTGGAAGGGGAATCCCCCTTTTATAAAGACTTCAGGTACCAAGTCGTTATCTTGGGTTACTTTCCTTCTTCGTTTTTTAATGCCGCTAGGACCAGCTTGAGTAACTGGACCCCTGTCATGCAAAAAAGTGTTCCACAGAGGTCTGTTTCTGACTTATATTAGGAATTGTGTTGGGAGACAGGACAAGATAGTCTTTCAATATGACACTAATATCAGCTCTACGGCTTATTTATCTAGCACAATTCATCTAATATGACATAATAAACAATATTAATAACACAGAAACATGATATATACTCTAAAATGAATAAAATATGGCATTAAGAATGTCAAGAGTGGTGGTGTGTTGTTTGTTGTTGGGTGTATAAGGGCCACTGAAAGATGAGCCTTACGTAGTAGTGGTGAAGGCAGCGGTGTTAGTCAGTAGCCCTATATACCTCCAACAACAATGGAGGAGTCAGTTTCGTGCTGTCCTTTTTCTATCAGTTTATTGTTTAACTTACTTGCTACACTGTTAATGCTACACTTTATCGCTGGCTGGCGCTATAGCCTTTATAGCCTCCTGCTGCTTTAGTATCATACATATTGCAGAATCACAGAAAAAGGCACATTCTCCCCCCTCTCTCTCTCAACCCTTTACCAAAGGGCTGGCTGGCACTAGAAGCTTTCTTTGGGCCCATGGTGGCTTATTTAGCAGTTACAAGCACTAAACAGAATGGAATAATACAAAATGTATGAACACGTGGGATCGTCCTCACTTGCTGGTAAACAATGCTACACTGGGCCGCTCAGGCCCCGACATGAATGACTTATACCAAGTTCAGTGATGTTCACCAAGCCAATATTTTGACGCAAAAGTGTTACTTATTCTGAATATTACTTATTCTGATGACGTCTTAATCCGGGGGTCCACTGTACTTGTTTTACACGATGGTAGGATTGCTGATATCTTTTTCCTGTCTCATAAACATGCAAGATTTCAGGTACATTTTGCTACCTGTACTTACACTTCGGTCACGCTACACATGCATGTACAAGCATATATATACACACACCCCTCGGCGTTTTCTTTTATTTTTTTTACTAGGTCTTGTTCTTTTCTCCTTATTTCCATGGGGAAGTGGAACAGAATTCTTCCTCTGTATCCATGCATGTTGTAAGAGGCAACTAAAATGCCAAGAGCAAGGGGCTAGTAACCCCTTCTACTGTATACATTACTAAAGTTAAAAAGAGAGACTTTTGTTTTTCTTTTTGGGCCACCCTGCTTTGGTGGGATATGGCCAGTCTGTTGAAAGAAGAAGAAGAAAGAAGATAGTAAGTGGTCTTCTTTTGCTGATTTAAGTAGCTGTTACAAGTAGTAGTTGATGAAGCAGGTTGTAAAGGTTATGCATGGATGCTAATACAAATAAAATTTGCCTGAATTTGGAGCCACATCTTGGTAGATGAAGGGTCCCATGCATCATTAGCTACTGATATAAGGGACTGAGTAAGTACATTATTGTTTTGTTACAGATCATGGTGTGGGCCAGAGTCACAGTTTAAGTATGGGTGTTGGTCAGCGTGGTCATGGAAGGCCACAGTTTCCTGGAGGAGACTCTGTATTATCACCGCGTGCCACTGACCACACTGGGGTGGGTCTTAAGATGGTAGAATATGTTCTGGCCTCTTCGCCAACTGGAAAGGACCTTGATGCCCGCATGGCCAACCTCGCCTTAAGAGTGAGTAGCTAACCAGTAACTGTAACTAAAAATGTTTTTACATTATTTAGTAACTCATTCACTCAAGTCTTTCTAGAAAGAGGGATGTAACGGTTTCCTTTTTATGTTTTTAACAGAATGGAGGTGGAGAAAGTACCAAGGATAAAAAAGACAAGGCTCCTTCCCCGTTTGACCCAACAAAAAAGGAAGTAGAGAATGGTAACTCCCCGCAAGCTAATGGCATTGTACAGAATGGACTTGACGATGACAAAACTTTTAAGTAAGTATAATATACATTATGAAAAAGAGGATTGTGTGTTGCTAAGCATCTTTAGGATTGTCACTTGTGTATACAGTTTAGCATGTGCAGTTGTTAGCTTGTTTTAACAGCGGTTAGTGGTTTTTCTATAAACATGCTTGTTTATTTTGTACAGTAGGGCCCCACTTAAACGTCAGGTTAGGTTCCAGGCTACTGCCGGAAAGCAGGCATCGCCGGAAAACAGAACGCCATTTTTTCTACTTATAAATGCATATAAATGCCAGGTAACAAGTTTACACTAACATATTACATTAGCAATAGAACCAGGCATTAAAAACAATAAAAAGTAAAATAAACACACAGTACACCCATTACTTACCTTAAAATATTTGTAGACTTAATGTAGGGTGAGAGGTGAGTTTAATTTGTAGGAAGTCAGGTTTGGGAGGTATGGTAACCACCCAGGTCAGCCCAGCCTACCCACACGTAATATACTACATTTAAAGCTCCCCAGAGCGATAAAATACACAGTACGTACATTCATTAATTACCTTAAAATATTTATCTTCATGTAGGGTGAGAGGCGAGTTGAATTTATAGGAAGTCAGGTTTGGGAGATATGGTAGCCAGCCAGGTCAGCCCACCCCACCCACACGTAATATACTACATTTAATTAAACTTCCCCAGAGCGATAAAATACATGTACAGTACATTCATTAATTACCTTAAAATATTTGTAGTCTTATTGTAGGGTGAGAGGGGAGTTTTATTTGTAGGAAGTCAGGTTTGGGAGATACAGAATCCAGCCAGGGTAGCCCTTCCCACCCCAACCCACCCACACGTAATGTAAACAAACTAGACGAACGCGTCTGGTTTTTGTCGCTTTACATTGTGTACAAGTTGTCTCCATGTTGATACAGTAGAAAAAATAAAGAGAAACGCTCTCATTCTCATGTAACACCATTTTTAGAAGAAATGACGCCCTAAGTGAAGGCGTACTTAGGTACAGGTACACATACGTATAATTATCACTTGTAATAATAATGTAAGTATACTATAGGCCACCTGGACTACATACCTATACCTACCTACATAGCTACACGATATTTAATGTGGCCCAGAGCCATATTATTACCGTCTACAATCCATGTTCACCGAGTTTGTTTCTAACAACTACCTTTAGATGCCATCATAAACAAAGGGAGAAGTAATGAATAATTCATGCCAAGAATTGTAAACAAAAGTGTCATGTATTAACCCTTTGACTGTCGCGGCCGTATATATACGTCTTACGAGGTACCGTGTTTGACGTATACAGTAGACCCCCGCGTAGCGATATTAATCCGTGCAAGAGAGCTCATTGTTATGCGAAATTATCGTTATGCGAATGAATTTTCCCCTAAGAAATAATGGAAATCAAATTAATCCGTGCAAGACACCCCAAAGTATGAAAAAAAAAAAATTTTACCACATGAAATATTAATTTTAATACACACAAACTGAAAAAGGCATGCACAATTACATGACACTTACTTTTATTGAAGATCTGGTGATGATTGATGGGATGGGAGGAGGAGAGAGTGTTAGTGTTTAGAAGGGGAATGCCCTTCCATTAAGACTTGAGGTGTCAAGTCCTTTTCTGGGGTTACTTCCCTTCTTCTTTTAATGCCACTAGGACCAGCTTCAGAGTCACTGGAGTTCTGTCGCACAACATATCTGTCCATAGTGGCCTGTACCTCTCGTTCCTTTATGACTTCCCTAAAGTGTTTCACAACATGTCAGTGTAATAGTCACCAGCACGGCTTGCAATAGCTGTGTGAGGGTGATTTTCATCCATGAAGGTTTGCACTTCAAGCCACTTTGCACAGATTTCCTTAATCTTTGTAGTAGGCAATTTCTTCAATTTCTCTCTCCCCTCCTTCGAACCAGTTTCCTCAGGTCTGGCCTCTTGCTGTTGAAGTTGATCTGTCAGCTCATCAGTGGTTAGTTCTTCATTGTCCTCCTCCACCAACTCTTCCACATCATCCCCACTAACCTCCAACCCCAAGGACTTTCCCAATGCCATAATGGATTCCTCAACTGGCATAGGATTCGTAGGGTTATCCTGAAACCCTTCAAAATCCCTTTGGTCTACACATTCTGGCCACAGTTTCTTCCAAGCAGAGTTCAAGGTCCTCTTAGTCACTCCCTCCCAAGCCTTACCTATAAGGTTTACACAATTGAGGATATTAAAGTGATCTCTCCAAAAGTCTCGCCTACACAGTAGGCTTCTTCAGTCGAGTACAGAAAAGTTGATAGAAGCAGAAGAACTTGAAGAGTTGGTTTCTGAGGTCACTACAAAGCACCTTTCAAACAGAGCTTTTGTGTACAGTTTTTTGAAGTTTGCAATAACCTGCTGGTCCATGGGCTGCAGGAGAGGAGTGGTATTAGGAGGCAAAAACTTCACCTTAATGAACTTCATGTCCCCATAAAGTCGCTCTGCCACATCTGTAGGATGACCAGGGGCATTGTCTAACACCAGGAGGCACTTAAGTTCTAATTTCTTTTCAGTTAGGTAATCTTTCACATTGGGGGCAAATGCATGGTGTAACCAGTCATAGAAAAAGTCCCTAGTGACCCATGCCTTACTGTTTGCCCTCTACAGCACACACAAATTTTCCTTGAGGACATTCTTTTGCCTGAACGGTCTGGGAGTTTGAGTGATAAACTAATAAAGGCTTCACTTTGCAATCACCAGTAGCATTGGAACACATCAACAGAGTAAGCCTGTCTTTCATAGGCTTATGTCTTGGGATTTCTTTTTCCTCCTGAGTAATGTAGGTCCTGCTTGGCATTTTCTTCCAAAACAGGCCTGTTTCATCACAATTAAACACTTGTTCAGGTTTCAGTCCTTCAGTTTCTATGTACTCCTTGAATTCCTGCACATATTTTTCAGCTGCTTTGTGGTCCGAACTGGCAGCCTCACCATGCCTTATCACACTATGTATGCCACTACGCCTCTTAAATCTCTCAAACCAACCTTTGCTGGCCTTAAATTCACTCACATCATCACTAGTTGCAGGCATTTTTTTAATTAAATCCTCATGCAACTTCCTAGCCTTTTCACTTATGATCACTTGAGAGATGCTATCTCCTGCTATCTGTTTCTCATTTATCCACACCAATAACACTCTCTCGACATCTTCCATCACTTGCGATCTCTGTTTCGAAAACACAGTTAAACCTTTGGCAAGAACAGCTTCCATGATTGCCTTTTTGTTGCCCACAATAGTAGCGATGGTTGATTGGGGTTTACTATACAACCTGGCCAGCTCGGAGACACGCACTCCACTATCATACTTATCAATGATCTCTTTCTTCATCTCTATAGTAATTCTCACCCTTATTCCTGTAGGGTTGGCACTAGAAGCTTTCTTGGGGCCCATGGACACTTATTTTGCAGATAAAATCACCAGAAACACTGTAATAATACGAAATGTTCCGATTGTATGCTTGGATGTTACCGCGGAGGCTGGCTGGTAAACAATGCCACCGGCGGAACATGTGAGGCTGGCTAAGGGCGCACATTAGACGCGTCTCGGGCGAACAGCGTTGAGCGGGTGTTTTAGCGGTATGCAAGGCAAAATCTTGGCGATAAAATGTAGCGGTATGCGGATTTAACGTTATGTGATGCCAACGGTATGCGGGGGTCCACTGTATATAAACATAAATTCTAGCGGCTTCAAATCAAGCAGGAGAAAGCTGGTGGGCCCACATGTGAGAGAATTGGTCTGTGTGGTCAGTGTGCACCATATAAAAAAATCCTGGAGTACGCAGTGCATAATGAGAAAAAAAAACTCCGACCGTTTTTTTTTTTTTTTTTTTTTTTTTAATTAAAATGCCGACTTTGTGGTCTATTTTCGTATAGTATTTATGGCTGTATTCTCGTTTTCTTGGTCTCATTTGATAGAATGGAAAATATGTTATAGAAATAGAGGTGATTTTGATTGATTTTACTTTAAAAAGAACCTGGAAATGGAGCACAAAGTATGGGAAATGTTTGATTTTTGCCGATGTTCAAAAGTAAACAAATGATGTCATTGTCCAATAAATGTCCAAATAGCCATTCTAATATGCAGTCATGAATGGGTTGATGCAGTTTTTACAATTATTACAGTATTGCAGTAGTCTGCATAACAGTAAATCTTCTATTTTTTGTTTGAATAAAATTTCAAAATAAAAAGCAAGAGTAATATCAGAGGGGATGGGAGACATGACTGATGAACAAAGAAAATGTTATTTTAGAGCCAGGAATGTCTGCATTGTTCATTCTGGTCCTTATTTTGAAATTGTCATATTTTTTAATTTTCGTGAACTTGGCCAAATTGCAAATTTCTGACCATGTTATTGGGTAGTTGAAATTGGTAAATGGGCAGTTTCTTGTACTCAATCGATAGAAAAAAATGGAGTTCTGAAGAAATAGCTATGAGTTTGGTTGACTGGAATAATGAAATTAGCCGAAAATAAGGCTCAAAGTGGGCAAAATCGCCGATTTGTAAATATCCCCGAGGTCGCTAAGTTCGCGAGAGCGTAATTCCGTCAGTTTTCCATCAAATTTAATTTTTTTGGTGTCTTTACAATCAGGAAAGTATTCTCTATCATTTCATAAGAAAAAATAATTTTTTTTTTAAATTTTGCGACACCAGGAGACACCTCAGGATTGGGGGTTGCGATAGTCAAGGGGTTAAGGGGAGTGACGTAATGTTTTCCCTCCGCCCGGCTGCCACACCTCCATAATATATAAACATTAAATGCTTATATGCTATGTAACATGCTTCTTACATAATTTTGAAGAAAATATCATAGATTGATTAATGAAAACGTGTATATAAACATATAAACAGCATATTTATATGCTGTGTAACATGTTTCTTATATAATTTCACAGAAAATGTCATAGATGCATTAATGAAAATGTCTATATTGACGTAAAATTAGACATTTAATGTGCCCAAGAGTGATTATTATTACTTAATAGAGAG